GATTTCAATGGATTCTTTCCTTCATGGCTACATCATGGAGCATCATTGCTGCATGGTCCTTCCTCTATGATTATCTTGATCAATTAAATTGAACTCCTCCTTAAAATTGCACAATTAAGCTCTAAATCATCTTGCAAGACAATTTCATCATAATTAGTGCAATACCGTGCTAATTCCAAAAACATTATTACACAAAATCATCAAATTAGAGGTATGAAAATATGTACAAATATAGGCTTATCAGCATTTTTTATATTTTTGGTTGATGGCAATCATCTCCTGTAGTCCTGAACATCTCTAACAATTGAGAACTTAAGGTTCATCTACTTTAAGAACTTCCCCTCAACTTTTAGTTTGTCTTATCTTTCTATAAAGGCAAACACAACCTAAAGTTAATGGTAGCAGTTTCTTAGGAACTAAGTCATGAATGGAGACATCATTCTATAATATAATCACTAACGAACAACTAGCACAATATCCCACTAAAAAATGATAAATGGACCACTATGCTGGGTTGAATGAGAAAACCACCACATTGATGATAGATCATGACATGTGACATCATTGGGAAATTATCTGTTGAATATACCAACAAAGCACTAAAGCAGCAATCATAGTTGAAACCAGTGGCATCATTATTGAAAACCAAATGATATCAATATCCCTTGGTTTTTTGGCATCACTTAATTCATATTTGTTCTACATATAGCAGTTATTGCAATAGCAATTATGACAAAGTTGTGGGTCTTGAGTTTGTAACCCCTTTACCTAGAGGGGGTACCCCTATTTATACTCAAGCTGCCTGGAGGTAGGTGGAGATGAACGCCTGAGATAGGAGTCGTACGACGGCCTGCAGTAGGTTTAGCAGGGTCATGTGAGCGCATCACGGTTGGCTCCGTACGATGGGGCAGGGTAACCTCTGCTGTAGTAGATCTAATTCCCTATTCTAGCGCTCATGGACTGGGCCTCCCAGCCTCGAATGGGCTTCCCATCGTACATCTCCAAGTTTGGGGCCAGAGGCTCGGCAATGATATCAGGGGAGAAGGCATCCATTCTCCCTTAGTAGGAGCTTTGTTCGGCCCTCCTTGACCTATTTGAGCTCGGCTCGGAGCTCAGTGAACATGGGGTCGGGCTTGGCCTAGGCGCCATCCCGGTCTTCGCGGACGTGATGATGCTCGGCGCGGATGCTAGAGTGCTTGGAGTTGAGGCCGCGCACTTCGCGCCTAGCGCGGAGGTCATTCAGGACATCCTGAAGGTCCGAGATGTGAGGGGAAGAGGATCGGTGCCGGCCCTTGGCCCTGGATTGGGCATTGGGGCGATCATAGTGCCCGCCTTCGTCCCTCAGGTCAGTCCTCCAGCGTTAGTGGTGTTGCTCGGAGGGCTGGTGGTTGTCCTCCAACTTTTCTGGTTCCTCCTCCCTTCTGTTGGGAGGTCTGAAAGTGCTAGAGCACAGGTCGGCCGGGCGACTGCTGCCAGACTCTGACTGGGTGGTGGACCCGTGCCGGCCCGGCTATGTTGACTTCCTGGCGGGGCGGTCACCTTGGGGTGACCTTCTTCCTCTGGGAAGTTCTACTCGACTCATTGTGTCAAATATTCCAGGCGGTCGAGCACGACCTGGAACTGTTCATTGGTGACAAGATTTTGCGTATTTCTTGTTCTTCGCACCATGTTGATTGCTCGGAGCTTGGGGACTTGTTAACTTGCTATAGTTCTTTTGGGGAACGTATCAGTGTTGTTCCCACAGACGGCGCCAATTGTTGGAGCTCGGAATGGCCGAGGACAACAAAGTAATTTCGCCCCTAGACTCCGAAGGCTTTGAGGACTCGGAGAGGTCGCTACTGAAGCTGAGGTGTGTAGGCCGAGGCGGGGTGGACTCCTAGTACGGTAGAAGCCGAGGGTAGATGGCCAAAGTGCTGCAAGACAGGAGCTCATCAGAGGCCCTGGGTGAGAACTCGAGGCAGAGTCTTCGACGGTCAAGTTAGTACAGGGTRCGTACAAAGGGAGAGTACCAGGATAGGATCCTGGTAGCTAGTTATAGACTAAAGTCACAATAGTAGTTATTGCAATAGCAATTATGACAATAGCTGTGGGTCTTGAGTTTGTAACCCTTTTACCTAGAGGGGGGGGATAGCCCTATTTATACTTGAGCTGCCTGGAGGTAGGCGGAGATTAACACCTGAGATGGGAGCCGTATGGGGGCCTTCAGCGGGTTTGGCAGGGTCATGTGATCGCATCGCAGTTAGCTCCGTACGATGGGAGCAAGGTAACCCCCCTACTATAGTAGATCTCGTTCCCTGTTCTGTCGCTCGTGGGCTGGGCCTCCTAGCCTCGAATGGGCTGGGTTGGATCACCCCACATCAAAAAGGATACCCAGACCAACACCATCAGGGCAACACCTGCTCACCAACATCAAAATGTCGATCTTCGGCAATCCTGACTGGTGTTGACACCAGCAATTTCAAGAACTGATGACCTACATCCGGGGAATCGACCTCCGGATGCAAACATAGGAGCAATGTATGGCTACCATGGGACAAGCCTCTACCGAAGCACATGCGCAAGACCCACAGCAGAACATCAATTGCCCACCCGCTTAACAGAAAGGACCAGCCCCAATACCGCGACAAGCAGGTCGCTGCCACCGGTGATCGTGGCAATCATATCTCAGCAACGAAGATCGGTAAGCTTCACAAATTCACTCCTCGAGAAATCATGCACAGACAGCTACGTCAAAACGGCAGGACCTTACTTATGTCCCCAAGGAACGAACAGTAAAACAACCACCTCACTCGAAACCTGAGGCATCCCAGTTTGCGAAGTGTAAGACCCCAGGCTGGCTGCTACACACCCCCAACCCGAACAAGCGGTCACTCTCAGTGGGCCTCATAGTAAGCCACTGTTAACAAAACACAGTTGGATCTGAAAGGATCCGGGCAGATTGAGCGACATCAGATTATATTATCAAAATTTATTGTTATTTTTTAAATAAATAAAATATCCAGTACAATCAAGGATATATCTGACTATTAATCAAAATGGTTCTGAACCCATAATTTTATCCCAGTTAATAATTGATTCAGGACTGGAACCACCCAGACCCGACCCCTGGTGTAAACCCGAAAACTTCAAGATGGGTTAGCCAGGCCTGGAAATATACACCTATTTCTTTCCTATCAATCAATCATCTTTGATTGTTAGTAGGACATATGTGTATGATATGAGGCCTCATTTTTATTGATTGGTCATGGATTAGCTCCTTTTATTGAGGGCCCTGAGGCCTGAGGAGGTACAAATTAATGTGACTACTCTCTAAAAGATAGTAGGTTGCTAGTGCTAGTGGTAGTAATTCAGATAGGCCTGAAAGGGGTGAAGGTGGGGCCGTAGTTAATCTTTTGGGTTTTCTATACAGCTGGAGCTTCGCTAGTTATGCAAATCATGCTCTTTCTATTGTATGTTTATCCCATGATATAAAATAACGTCCTCATTAATGAACCCTTCGTATAATTGAAGTTCATTCCGACTAACTAAGAACTTGGTTCAATTATGGTTCTACAGAGTACTCCACTGTGCTTTTTGAATTCGTATACCTGCGAACTATTTGAACGTGATTCTGAAATTCTGATTTACAGGCTTTTTATTAATCCGAGGCCAATCTGCGAACTCAGATGTCTGAGATTTGGAAGAGGAGAGAAAGTATTTGTGGGAAGAGAGAGACTATTGGAATTGTGCTGGAGGTGGTAGGGTCAGGGTATCGTTCATTTCAGTCAATAGTAGATCAGGCCCAAGTCGTCAAACAGGATTTCTTCCCCACTAGTGTAAAATGTGTTAAGTTTTAGCGCAGTAATAGTAGTTGGTCGTAATGAACCGTTTTGGCCAAACATATTGCTCAGTCAAAGGAGCAAGCTGCTCTGCTTTTTTTTTTTTTTTTTCTATTTAACCATTATTAGTGGCAATTCTGAGACCACGTGGGAGTAGAAAGTTGAAAGCTAATAAGTAAAGGTCAAGCAGAAAGTTGTACCTTTAAGATGGTATTTAATTTCATTATCGTTTATTTAAAGACGTCAGTTCCATGTAACATACTTATTTTTTCAATAGAGTTTGAAACTTTGTTTGGTTAAACCATTTATCAAATAAACATTTATTTCCATTTGTATAAAAAACCATTTATTTGGAGGATGCTTTTTTAATGTTTTCTCTAATATTAAGGTATTTTTCACTATTTAGCTTACGTGGCAATTAATGACATCTAATTGTTAAAAAACAAAAAATACATTTTTCATCTGTTTTTTTAAGATAAATGCTATATAAAATGTTTATTAAATAAATTCTAATAAAATTAAACAACCCTTAAGAAGGAGTATAAATATAAATATGTATAATACAAATACATACAAAATAATATAAAATACAAGGTTTTGCACTCTACATATTTATATTTATACTCTTTCCAAGGCTTAGTTTGAAAAGAATATAAATACAATTTTATAAAGTGCAAAATCTTATATTTTATATTATTTTGCACTGTTTTCAAAATCGGACCGGATCGGAAAAACCGGGAACCAGTCACCTAATCGGTTTCGTTTTCCTCCGAAACCGTTTTTTTCCCCAAAACCGTTGATTTTGGTTAACAAACCGCTGAACCAGCYGGTTAATCGTTTGAACAGTTTTGACCATTTTCCAATTTTTTATTTTTCTTTTAATTTTTTTATTTTTTTTGTTAGAACGGACTGGCCATTTGGGTCAAACGTCAGACCATTCGAACCGGTAATCGGACCCCTGACCGGTTCAATCACCGGTTCGTTTTTAAAAACCATGTTATTTTGTATGTATTTAAATGAGCCTTAAATSCATTGATGTACCAGCCCGTTTGGCAATGAATGCAATGCAAGTCAGAATGAACGCTTCTCTTGCATGAAAAATAGCAGATACCATTAATAATATTTGTTTTCATTGATTGAATACATATTAATTTGTCGACTGCTGTTTTCTTCAGCTCAACTATTCTGGCTGGCCACCAGCAGTCCGGCACCGTGGTCTACACACACTACATTGGTTACACTGATTTACAAGTTACAACCTCAACTCCTCCTCACCTACCCTGAACAACAGTACCAACATGTTTATCAGTTTATATAATATATGAGATAACACTTCACCCACTTGTCTACGGCCACTTCTGACTTCTGAGTTAATTAACAACAACGGCACAAATTAAACTCCTTTCAAGAAAAAAAAATTGTTTATTTTTTTCCTCTTGCATTTGTTTCCACGTGCGATCCTATTCTGAAATTCGAATTACTTTTTCTATTGTCAATTTACCTATAAACCCGATTAAGAGCAAGTGTGCAATGTCTCCTTCACCACCTGGAACTGGCCTATTGGATTTAAACAGTAGCACACATTTGTTGCTTTGTGAATTGTGATAGACGTTGCCCCACGCAAACGCAGCCACGCCACTCAAGTTATATTTCTCACCTCAACTTAACTAATTGGGATTTTTTACTCACAGGTGTCTCACACCAACCTTACAGCTATATCGGAACATTTCCTTATAAATAATAAATACAAGTAGGAGTGATGTTTCAATATGCAGCCATAATATGTTGTGAGGTGGATATGAGGCGCGCTGTGTTAGTAGCAGATCCGGATTCCAACTTAACAACCAAACCCTACTTGCCCACCAAAACAAGTTTATTCATTTTATTAAATTTAAAAAAAGAAAAAAAAAACAATCCTGAAGCAACCGTTGACTCAGCTTCTCTCCCTTCAAGCTGGCCGGCTTCAAGTTTCCATTCCATATGGGGATGCATGAAAAGATCCTTCTAGGCTTCGTGCACGGATTCATACTACTTTAATCCAACGGTCGTGGACTCGCGATCTACGTAGTACGTACTACGCGTTTTGGGATTTTATATGTGATTGCTTTGGCCTTGCCCGTAGGCCGTAGTCCTGCCTTCGCTTTATTTATTACCTTGGTGGGTCCACTGTCATTGGAGAGAGTGGTACCATATCTTGCTGATAACACCCTAGGATTGGGATTGATCACAATCATCCCAGTCCCTGATGAATCATTATCAATGGTTAAGATTTTATTCGCTCTGCTCTACCACCATCGTACCACCAGAAACAACGCTTATGCTCACCCACTATTTTTTGTTCTGTTCCTTCAACTTTTACTTTACGTTTTTTTTTAATTATAATTTACTTTTTTAACTATATATTTGTTATAAGTGTTAATTTTCCGATCCAACGGTTAGATTCTTTCCCGCGCGAACAGACGGTTGGTGTTTGTCTCCTTGGGGTCTTTATCAGGTCCATCTGGCTCGCCTTATCCAGTTCTGGCGGGAAAACCGGATTACGAGGGAAAAGAGAAGAAAAACCAGATATTTTTACTAGATGGATTTTGGAGAAACTCAACCTGTGCCTGTGGGCCCGTGTCGGATAAAGAATTAATGCCACAACGAAGTCGAATAAAATCGGCTCCCCATCACAGGAGATGCTCCCAATGCACGGTGGATGTGCATGTGAGGCGCCCATTTGTGAGGAGCAGATCCCGTCATAGGTACCAATTTTTACTGTTAACAGATTGCAATTAAGACATATGATGCTAAGGGTACATACGTCAATTTGTTTATCTCATTTTTTATATAAGCAAACCTCTAAGGGCATTTTCGTCGGTTGATGACTTATGAGTTGATGTTCGTTTAAGCTTGGCAATTCTGTAAAATAGATAAGGGTATTTAAGGCAAATTGAAAACCACTAAGCATATTTAGTCAAACGGTCAAAACCATGTAATCACTCTCCCTAATATAAGCGCTAGCGGTCTTTGCAGTTTGCAACACGATTGAGCTCGGAGCGCAGTACTGAGGAAACTTTGAGTCTTACGTGGCTCCATGTTATTGGATACAATCAGGTCGTCGGGATTCAGACCAGGTAAAAATGAAAGGAAAGAGAAAACAGAGTCACTCTCATTTCCCTTCTCTCTCTTTCTAGCTCCCCACGCTGCTTCCCTTCTCCTGTCTGTCTGTGTTTTTGTTGCTCTCCGAGTTTCCCCATTTTCTCCCTGTTTTCTAATTTTTTATTCTTGAAAAATTCGATTACGGGTTCTTCAGTGCATGATCTATTGATTACATGCAAATTAGAGTTCTGATTGCCGATTTTTATCCGGTTTCATTCATCGAAAATTCGACGACACTGGAAATGCTCGAACCAGTTGAGAGTTCCGTTAATGGAGGATTTTCACAGTTGCAGAGCTGTGGAGATAGTAGTGAAGAAGAGCTCTCTGTTCTTCCACGTCACACCAAGGTCATTGTCACTGGTAACAATCGTACCAAGTCGGTGCTCGTCGGACTCCAAGGAGTGGTCAAGAAAGCCGTTGGGCTAGGCGGGTGGCATTGGCTGGTAACCTCTTTCATAAAATTTGGTTACTTCTATTATGAATTGTGGTCACCTGGGGAAATGAGTTTTAGATTAAGATTGATATAGTTTGTYAGAGAATTTTAGGGGTTTTCGGTTGAGAGATTTGATTCGATGGCTTTTATGCAATGTGGGTTAATTGGATTTAATTCGGTCTGGTTCTTTACTCTGGTATTAGTTCGTTCTTTATTTAGCCATTTGTTTCGATTTGATGCTTGTTTTTCCTCTCCTTTTTTCTTTAGCTATTTCACTTTCACCCTGATTTTGTTTTGTTGCTAGCTGTCCCATTCTTGTGGTCTAAATTTTGATAGATTTGCAGAATTTTGTTTCTCATGTTAAACTTGTCCTTTTTTTCCTGATTGCGTGAATTTCATTTTCTTTTTAGTATATAGGTTTTGTTGGATTTTTTTTTTTTTTTATATGGATTTGGTTGAATGTGAGTTCTTCTATGTGGATCTGGGGTTCTTATGGGTTTCTTATAATGTGATATAATCGAGAGAGAATTTGATCGTAGTTTAAGAATATCTGCTTTACCTTTCTTGTTTCCTTGTTTTTGAGTAGTTGGTGATTTGGACTAAATTTCTTCGGAAACGGTGCTTCAAAGTCTGTGAATGATTTTATTTACTCTCTTATTAATTCTTTTATTTTCTTCCAATTGTGTGTATTGGGGAGAGGTGGAACGGTACCTGTGGCTGCATGGACTTGTGTTCTTTCTTCTAGAAACTTTTAGGGTTTTGCCTTCTGATTACTGAATTTTCTTTTGCAGCATCTGTGGATGCATGGAGTTTCTGATTGGATATCGGTGGTCTTTTTTTCTTGTATAGTTTGTTTTCACTGGAAAAAGTTTCAGAAACATTGAATGACTAGTAGGGTTCTGATTGCCTAATGGGTCTGTGCTTTTATTTCTGGATCTTGGACTTGTTATTGAATGAAAATATGGAAATAACCATTGGGAATTTTGATTTCGTTGGTAAAATACGGAAATGTAGGATGATTGTGGGTTTGAGATTGAATAATTGTGTCTCTGCTTTTATTTCTGGATTTTGATGAGGCCACTTTCTAGTGTTTTCTTCTTTGTTGAATATTTAAAATTTCTTTTTATTTTGGGTGAGGTAGCTTGCATGTGTTTTCTTCATCTAACTTGTATTTTTGCCGAATTTCTTGCATGTGTTTTCTTCATCTAACTTGTATTTTTGCCGAATTTGTTGCCACTGACTGCCCTCTAGAACTTGTGTTTGTTAACTTTGTTTCATGGGTTATGAGAACTTCACTGGTTCTGTATTTCCAAGAATGCTCTATTAATTTTGCTTATTGAAAAAGAAATTTGGAAATTTTCCTTTTAGCTGATTGGACTTGAGTTGGTCTTTATGATTTGGTACTACTTGTGTCTTTGTGGTTTTATCTGCATCATTGCAGCTCCTTGTGGTTATTGACATGTGGTTTGGTGAATGTGCTGCAATTTATGAGGGAAGTTTATGCTTTTTATTAATTTCAATTAACTATGTGGGTATAAAAGGATTCTCCTCAAAAAAGTTTTGATAAAATTATAGCTTGCTTACTTGCAGTCTCTCTGTCCCCCTCCCCCCAGATGAGAAGCTTAATTCACTGTAATTTATCTTCCTTTGCCTTTTTCTTCACTTGCTTTTTTGTGTTAGTTGTGATGAGGTTTGTTGTAGCCTGACAGTTTTTAAAATCCATTTAGCTTGTGATTTTTGGTGCTTGGACTCCTGGACTTGTTCTTCATCTGTTCCAATTGTGCAAACTGCAGGTTCTTACAAATGGCATAGAGGTGAAGCTACAGAGGAATGCCCTTAGTGTGATTGAAGCTCCAACCGGTAACGAGGAGGATGATGACCTCGAGTGTGAAAACATGCAGTGGAATGGTTCAGAATTGGGTGAGTTTGATTACTTGTCCTTTCTGTGATGGGGACCCTGCAACATATGTTTTTCAATGGCCTTAAAGGCAGCTAAAAGAACTCGCTCCCCTCATTTTTTTGGGGATCACCATGTGCTATGTCCGGCATGTAACTTTCTTTAGAGAAAAGTAGCTGTCTTTGTTACTTAGGATCCAATTTTTCTTGTACATCATTTGATCCTTTTACTGTTCCAAAAATCCTGTTTTGATTTGTCATTATCCTTCACAATGCCCTTCTGCACCTTTTATTTATTTTTCCTATTTTCTTTAATGGGTTGCAGCATCTGATGACACCCAAAAGTCCCACAGACCTAGTCATCGTTCACATAAATCAGTAGGGTCATCTCACAAGACCATGAGTCGGTCTCTTTCTTGCGATTCACAGTTGAAAGGATCTGTTTCACCTGCTCGAAGTGCCACGGTAAATGACTTTGCATTCTTAAAAGTGTGCTTCTACTTATTTTTCACCATGAATCCATCTTCAGTTTGCAAATGAACGTTTTGTTATCTKTTTTCTTAAGTTTTTATCATGTTTTCTGCAGAAGGTTGACCTAAGCAAACTAGAAATGACTGCTCTATGGAGATATTGGCGACACTTCAACCTTGTAAGTTTTTTGTTTTTTTGCCAATGTGTCTACATGCATTTTATTTTGTTTTCTGCGGAAAATTGCCATTGTGTGTATACTGTATACTATGGGTAAATTAAATATTTGAATGAATGGTTGTGCATTTTAATTATTGGTTATTGCTTATTGGTGATTGTTTCTGTTGAATGATGCTTATTCTTTTTCTGTTCCAGGTAGATGCCATCCCGAACCCATCAAAAGAGCAGCTGATTGATGTTGTTCAAAGGCATTTCATGGCACAGGTACTCATGTGAAATCTGAATGTTTGTTCTTCTAAGAAGAGTAAGCACAGGTTAATAGAAAAATGAAAGGGAGGTACTTATCTGAAGGAGCAAAGCCTTGTTTTATTATTATTCAAGAAAAGGAGGAGAAAAATCATAACTAAACTAGTCAATGTGGAATCTCACCTTTTTATATCCCTAATTCATGTGAAACTAAAATGCTTCCATTTGTTTGTGCAGCAACTGGATGAGTTGCAGGTCATTGTGGGGTTCGTGCAGGCTGCAAAGAGACTGAAGACGATGTGCAGCTGACCTTGAGAGAGAAGCATCACATTTGGTTATCGGCACTAACAGATACCGGTACTCATATGGTCCTCTTCCCTCGGATTGTAGTAATTTTCTGTAACATATGTATCCTTTTTCAGCTTGTTTCTTGTTTGCAATTTGGGTAACTGGGTTATCGAAGTTAAAATAGTCCTAATTATATGTAGATAGATATATATATCATAAACTGTTAGGTGACTTTGAGGAAGTCCTCATAGCTAAGTATCAGAGTATGTCTGCCTTAAGTGTATCACTGACTGTTTGGGGGAAGTGAGTTTTTCTAATGTATATTCTTAGTTGTCGCACATATCCATCCCTTTTTTCCTCGCCCATTGCTCACTGACAATACCTTTTTCAGTGACTGACCGAAAGAAATCAATTAATTGAATTGCAGCGATTATCTGATTTAGAATTTTAAATTGAATTCTTTGAAATCTGGGGTTTAGGGTATTGGAATTATCTTTTACCTTGCAATCTTGTCATGTGATATGCCAAACTACGGTAATTGAGCATTCAATACTGAATTGAGCCATGCAACTACAGCCGTAACATTGGATGTTGAGTGCTTGCTTAAAGATTTTATGCTTCCAATTTCTAAGTTGGGATTAAGTGTTATAGCTGTGGGTTGATCCTTCACCCAAATTAATGTGATAGATTTGGGTTGGGTGATGCAATGGAACCAACCGATCAAAGGGTACGATAATAAATCAGTTTAAGCTTTAGTATAAATAATCGAGGTCCCTTACCACAAATTTACGATAGGTAACGCAACAAAGGGTTTTCGACTTTTCGTCTCAAATGTCAGAGGAGACGACTCACATTGGAACCAATTGTTCCTTKGCCGCACCCGCAACCGCTACAAGCGGCATTCGCTTTAAGATGTTCGTTCTAAGGTTTAAAATATCGATATGCTCGATGCGCTGATGGGGGCTACCGGTGTATCGGGCGATATCGATAGTGTTTTCAACCCTTTTTCTTTATTTTTTTCAAAACTGGTTCGAGGGGGTCATTTTAAGGTTCTTCCACCTCTGAACTGGTCCAAACCCTGATGCACCTCTTGTAGGGGCGTATCAGAAAGTCATCAGCATGATATGTATCGATACTTTAAACCTTGGTTCGATACATATTGGTTCGTTCCTCTCCTTTCTCTCAAATTACTTTTAGGGGGCAGTTGATAAYGCTTTTTAAAGGTTCAGTATTTGAAAAACTTTCTTTGCAGACATTAGAGCCGTTTGGTGTTATTTCTGAAAATGGGTTTGAATCTCATTTTCAGATCTGAATTTTAAAGCTCATGGGCCAGCTCTTAACACACTCAAACGGGTTTCAGAGCGAACTTAAAGTCAAAAATACCCCCCAAGAAACATGAAAATGATGTGATTTTGCCCCTGCTATCCCTAAAACCTAACATTTTCCTCCATTTGCATTTTCTCTCTAGAAGAGCATMCTTAGATCACCTCTTGTCTCATTTGAAGATTGCCGCTCGTCTCAATTGAAATCCACTGCTCATCTCGTCAAAGGTATCATCCTCCTCTTCTTCTTTAAATGGTTGTTCATAGGGTTCATAAATTCTTTTTCAAACGACTCTTTATGTTTAACAAATGCTGGCTTACAGTTGTTCTAATCTTTATGTTTACAGTTCTTCAAATGGTTCTTTATGTTTATTTTGATTTTGAATCTAATCTTTATGTTTTACAGTTTTTCAAACGGTTCTTTATGTTTATTTTGATTTTGATTTGTTTAATTATAGTTGTTATAATCTCCAAACCATTGATGAATTTAATTATCATTTTTTTTCGATTGTATGTTTCTGATTTTTTCATTCATCATAACTCACACCATGAACTCTAAGCTCAACCTAACTACAAACCACTTTTTCATTTGAAATCCATCTTATCTGTTACTTTTAGGAGTAAAATGCATATGCATATTGTTCCAAAAAATCCCATGGGAATAATCCGTCCTATGAGATGAGCTATCTTGGTTTTGAAAACCATATTACAGTATAATTCTAATTGTTATCCCAATACCAATTTAAATGAATTATCAAACCACTAACTTATTAAGGCGAGACGGGAAGCGGCAATCAGGATAGGAAATGAAGGAAGCAATGTCTTCTCTCTCTTCATTTCTTTCACAGTTTCAACGCGAAAAACAAAAAAAANGAGAAGAACCTGATACTACTGAAACCACTTTCCTAACCTTTCTAATATGAACCACTATGAAAATAAATAAGAAAGGAACAATACAATTCATCATCCTCTAGCCAGAAATCCCCGACTTATTTGCTATGAAACTCGTTTAAGATTCATTTGTTTCATCAGACGTCGAGGCGTTTATTTATTTTTTAAGAAAAGAAAACGCAAGCAAATCAACAACAGAGAACTCAAATTCCTCAAAGCTAATCAGAAAGCACCAAAGGATGGAGCTTCTAGAACAGATAAGCGAAACGTGAGTGAAATGAGAGCAAATGTTCGAAATTTGGGAAGTAGAGGAAGTGATCAAGTTATACAAGTATATCAATGCATTGCGGCGAAAGCATAGTGAGAAAATAAGAACGAAGAAACTTGGAGAGAATTAAAACCGTTAGGAAGAAGACTTAAATAAGGTGGGTATGTTTGAGAATGGCTTGCACGCATGAGAAACAGAGAGACGGGAAGCGGCAATCAGGATAGGAAATGAAGGAAGCAATGTCTTCTCTCTCTTCATTTCTTTCACAGTTTCAACGCGAAAAACAAAAAAAAAAACAGTGTGCATAAAAACGTGGCCTTAATATACGGGGTAGAGTATTCGTGCGGGAAAACCAAGAAGTCCAATAGATAGAGTGAGGAGGAAGAAAGCAGAGGAAACGAGGTTTTATTAGTGGTGGAAAACAAAGAGAATAGGATGAAGGAGAAGAAAATGGGCAAATTTCTTAAACTATCATTTTGGTTTAGCAAATTGATTAATTCATTCTTATTGTTTATATATTGTGTTAAAGTATTCTTATTATTTTTGACAATTATCTAAAACTTTTTTTTAATTTAACTGATAATTTTTTAGAATTTCTAAAATACCCTTCCCGTGAACTGTTCATCATCCTCAACCTTGAAATCCAAGGATCTCCTTCTATTCTTCTCTGTCCTCTGTTTCTAGGCTGAATAAATTCATTGAGGAGAACTCAAAGTGTTCCCGTAATACTATCATCGTCGACTGAATCCCGTAATACCCAAACAGAAAAAGCACCTTCAGTTTTGGAATCGTTGCAGATCACACCGCTGCTCTGCTCATGCAAGACTATTGTTTTGCTCCAGTGAAAAAAAATCTCCTCGGTCCACCATGGAGTCTATTCCTAGCCAGTCTCCTCCACACTCAAATAGAAGCACATATAATTCCAGCCATTCTACGGACATCCTTCACAGTGCAGACCAGAGTGCCCATGACATCCATCGATATGCTTTTGCAAAAGCTCACGCAAGAAAGCCAAATACTTCTGAAACAAGTTGATCAGATTCAGAAAATATGGTGGTTTGTTTCTCATGTGGACCAAGGGAGACGAGAAGACAATTGTGCAAAGGAGCCAGCATTGAAACTGCATAGAATGGCGATAGCTTAACTACAACACCATTATCACTAACTTGGGCTTGAGCTGATAGCTTAACTAACAAGCATTGGACGAGGTCTACTGTATGAAGCCTCTCTACAGGGGAATGTTAAACCAGTGCAGCAGATGCATATGAAGCCATCGGCAAACCTCTGTTTTTTCGCTTAAGGTATGTCCAGCCACATTTTCATTCAGTGGGGATTCTCGACGACGATGTCCACATAATCAGAACGAGAGAGAGAGAGAGAGAGAGAAGGGGAGTAGAAATTCTACCGCGTGACATGGTGGCTTGGGAGATTCGTGTGTTAATGGAAAGTTGGAAACCGGTGGTTTTGTTTCGTTTGACAAATGGTGCAAGGGAATAAATGGCGGGAAGGAAACGAGAAAAGGAATCCGGATTTCCTGCACTTGTTTGTTGTGTGCCGTGGTGCACTCCCAATTACATTGTAATTGTAACACGTCACGTTTTAAATTGATGGTTTGCTTCTTTAAAAATAAAAAACAGAAAAAGAAATCTTTTTATTTTTATGCCCTCTCCTTGTCCCTTTCTTTCTTTCTTTTCTTCTTATAGGGGTGTTCTGTGATCTATAGTGTGGAAAAGAAATTGGTGTAAAGTGGTCCATATCACATTTGTATGATAGACCAATCCATATAACACCACAGTCCACAGCTATTTTGAACTGTGGATAGATTGTGTGGACCAGACTAGTCTACACCCACGGTAACATTCTATAGGTGTGGTGTGTAGGCCTGTAAATGGATCAAATTCGAATCGAATCAAGTTAGATTCGAATTCAAAACCGATTATAGATACTGATATTCGAATTCGATTCGATATCCGACGGATATCAAATATATCAATTCGAATTTGATTTTGATTATTAAATCGAATATTCGATTCAATTCGAATTCAACTGATTGGCTTTTCGAATATATTCGAATCCGATTAGATTAATTATTTTACAATAGACAAATTTTACAAATTAGGGATTAGATTAATTCAAATTTGATTAGATTAATTCCAATTTTACAATCAATACCCCCACTTACACCCGGTATTGTTTCCTCTACCGGACCTGATGCACAACATTTGTAGCCTTTAAGTTGATAAGCCTAGAGAGTCTCCGGTGTCAAATGGTGTTTTTGATTTCAATAATAAACAATTTCCATTTTCACAGCAAGAAGAGCATTTTTCATCAACAACAACCAAAAGCTACAAAGACCTCTCTGTACACGCCCATCAATGGTTTGGGTTCTTCATCATTAACACTTTTCACACACAAAACAATCTCCTCTCCAGCCTCTACAAGTAAGACACAATAAAAAAAAAAAAAAAGAAAAAAAAAGTAAAGACCCCCCTACCCTCATGGGCCTCATCCCACCCACCCCCTTCCACAGAATGTGGTCGCAACTTGCCACTCTCGTGGTCTGGTGTTGAGCAGGAAGACTTTTTAATGATAAAGGTGGTTGAAAGAATGTAAAAATTACTTTATATTTCTTGGATTCTTTGGAATTGCCCTCATGTTAAAATTAAGTCCTCTGTTTTCTTCTGCTATCTGCTCTCGATTCTGGATTTTCACTCGTCTGTGTCCGAGTTCTCCCTCTGGCTTTCCATCTCTATACTCCCTGCTTGACTTCTTCGGTGTCTTCGGTCCTGAGAAATTATAATACAAAGTTCAATCCATCAATCAGATAAGAGAGAGAGAGAGAAAGAGATTCATCAAATTGACTACGTTATCAGAAATATATATGGACATGGAAAGAACCACCATCAGCACTGCTTGAAGTTTTCTTTTTGAGCTCCCGGACGCCTTTGAGCA